CTATAAAAATTGCAAATAAATTATTTTTTTCTTTTTTTCTTTTTCTATTTTTTTAGAAAGATAACTTTCTTAACCAAGGTTTTCGGAGCAGTTTTAATTTTTTCATAAAATTAAAATAATTTTTTTCATTGATAATATTATCTATTGTTTTTATTATTTAAAAAATAATATTTATGTTTTTATTTCTATCATGAAATTAAAATCTAATATATAATTATTTTGTTATAAGTTCTTATCCATATGTATATGTGTAAGTGTAAACCAGTCTGGTTGAGGCCAAGCCATATCCATAAGTCATAAGCCCTAATTTATAATCCCCGAGACATAAGCCCTAAATCCTAAGCATAAGCCATAATCCCTACTCCATAAGCCTTAATCCCTAAGCCCTAAGTCATAAGTCATAAGCCATAAGGACTAAGGACTAAACTAACTATAAGTCATAAGCTCTACACCTTAAGCTTTAAGCAATATGAGTTTAGCCATAAGCTATAATCCCTATTTTGTAAGCCTTAAACCATAACACATAAGGATTATGGTTTATGGTTTAAGAATTATGGCTTATGACTTAAGATTTATTGTTGATAGTTTATTGCTTAAGAATTGTATCTTTTGGATTATGGCTTGAGACGTATGGATTATGGCTTATGATATAAATCATAATCCATAAGCCATATGTCCTAAACATTAAGCCCTAATCCATAAACTATATGCCACAAGCCTTAACTCCTAAGCTATAAGCCGTCAAACATATATCATAATATATTTCATACAAAATAGGCCTAAAGCCCCAAGTCATATGGCATAAGCCATAAGCCTTAAGTCTTAAGCCCTTCGCCCTTACTCATAAGCCATACACCTAAGACCTAAGCATAAGCGTAAGTCATGACCCTTGAGCCATAAGCCATAAGTCATAAGCCACCTATCCATACCATCACATGTGACGGGGCTCAGATAATCCTTCGAGTAAAAGACTCGTCCCTACAACGGTTGGACTCAGACAAGAGCTGCACAATAGGGCCAAATCCAGTACTCTGAGATTATTCAACCCTGCTCACATATGATGTGACGTATTCACCTAATGGCTAACTCCCATCACTCAGAGTCCCACAAAGCACAAAGCAAGCAGCATTCGGACACATGAAACTACTCAAGCAATTCTATCCTCATAACGAGAAACTGTACTAGCATACAATGCTAAGCTCATACTATCAGGCATAACCTAAACAGGCTATCCTAGTATTGTCTACTCAATACTAGCATGAAGTTCTCATAAAGTTAAAACACATATAACAGGCACATAAGGCATCCTCCTAGATCCTTAGTCCTATTCTAGCATGTTGTTCTACTGAAACTAAAACTGACAATCATAACATAAACTTGTATTGGTAATTTGGGAGTACTTACTTTAGCTCGGCTGATTGCATGCACCACACCCTTTTCTCTTTTACACATTTCTTTTCGCTTTTTCTAAAACTCTTTTCTTTATACTTTTTCTAAAATTGTTTTCTTTTCTCAAAATCCTTTTGTAAATGGTTTTTCTATTGAAAATTTTATACCACTTAGTTTGAGTTCAGACACAGCCGGAAGTGTGCCCGAATCCGTCAAACCAAGGCTCTGATACCAACATGTAACATCTCATAAACACAGTCTGAAATTTTCGTTTAATTTAATAATAAAAACCATGGTCAATAAACCTCATATAAAAATCATAAGCAATTTATCTCAAAATATTGTAACAATTGTCAAGTATATCAGAGTATAAACATCCCAGGCTGAACAAATGGTGCGTGCACTACAATCTTCCCGAGCTCCTCTTTTGAAAACTGAGTACCTGAACCAAAACTGAAAACTGTAAGCACAAAGCTTACCGAGTCTACCCAAACTACCACATACCATACAATAACATATAAACACATATTAGGCCTTGCCTGCTGCATCAGCCCGAGTCCGGAAACTGCATCGGACCGAAGTCCGGAACTAACGAGGGCCTTGCCCTCTGCATCGGACCGAATTCCGGAAACTACATCGGACCGAAGTCCGAAACTGATTGGGACCTTATCCCCTGCATCGGACCAAAGTCCGGAACTAACTGCATCAAACCGAAATCCGGAACTGAATGGGACCTTGTCCCCTGCATCGGACCGAATTCCGAAAACTAAATGAGCATAACATAGCATAGCATAAACATATCAACTAGCATAAACACATATACTGCATACTGCATCAGACCAAAGTCCGGAACATATAACACAAAGACATGCTTGAATCACAAAGACATCAAGCACACTGAACTGCTGCATCAGACCAAAGTCTGGAACTATTGCTAACTAGACAGGCCAGCATTATGGCCATAGACCCGTTCCTACTGGAAGGAAAAATCACCTCTCACTGTTGAAGTCCCGCAGACTCAATCCCACACTGCTGAAGTCTCGCAGACTCAACCCCAACTGCTAGATGACAGATTCCCGATCTGTCAACATCAAAATAACACCCAATTAATAATTGGGCTCCACTACATAACTATAATTACATACTTTGGATAATTACTACATTACCCCAAGCTTGGCTTACCCAAGCCCAAGGTCCAATCCATAGGCCCAAACTCAACTACGGATCAAAGCCCAACATATGGCCCAATTTTCCAAATTGGGCCCAAACCTCTACATGGGCTTCCCTTAAGGCCCAATTGTCCAGTCCAGTCCACCATTTCCCGTTTTAAGGGCCCAATATCATACAACCCTCTAGGACCAAACTATGGCCCAAGTTTCCAAATTGGGCCTAATCTTTCATATGGGCCTTACCTTAAGCCCAACTAATTACTCTAGTCCATTTGATTATTATTGGATGGCCCATTAATAAACCAATTACCAATTACCTAATTGAAAAGCCCAACTCAAGGCCCATTTGACATTAGGGTTTCACATTAAATGACAATTAGGGTTAAGTGTTTCTCACTTAACCCATTAAGGGCTTAACCCACTAAGGACTTAATCCATTAAGTTCATTATTGCTTAGATTATTTTCTGCCAATGATTATTATTTAATATTTTACTTATTAAATAATTCTCGTGTGTGTGTCCGATAATTTCTCAAATATTAGGATTTTCTCAATTATCCCATTAAGGACTTAGTCCATTAAGCCCCTTACTCTACTAGATAAATGGCATGGAATAGTTTGGACCTAATTCACAATCCAATCCCAATAGCCCAAAAGTGGGTCAAATAAGTCTAAGGCCCAATACTCATAATTAGGGTTTTCCACCCAAACATGGCCCAATAGGTCCAAAACCAATCTCTAAGCCCATTAGGGTTTGCTAGCGGGCTCCACCCACTACCACCTCGGGTGGTGATGGTTGATGGCGGCTCACAGCGGCGGCCACCACCTTATGGTGGTGGTTATTATTATTTTATTATTAACCAAAGCTAATTACAATTTCAATGTTTAATCCAAACATAAACACACACTAACTAACACACACACACAACCACACCATGGTGGCCGGCGGCGGTGCTTGGCGGTAGCCACCACCTCAAGGTGGTGGTGGTGGCTTTTCCGTGAACGTCGACTAAACAAACACACATACAATCTTCATAACTGATGGAACACTGATAACACATGAATACACACCCAAAACTACACCTACAGGAAGCCCTTCATCGATCTTGAAAGAGGGAGTTGACGACGACAACAGCCACCATGGCCGGCTGCCATGGTGGTTCCTCACGATGGTCTTCAGCTTCATGCAATATCGAGCGACGATAGTAGGAGCGCTATCAACAACAACAGCGACCCAGTGACAACGCAGCAGGAACAAGGAAGGTGGCGGTGAAGCTACAAATCATCAAGGCAACAAGCGGCGACCTTGTCGTCGTCGAAGGGTAGCAGCAACTACACTATCAACAACCGGGGTGGCTAAAGGTGGTAACAACATCGACGACCGGCGGATTGGGGCGTAACACTAAAGAAAACGATTATGAGCCAGGAGGAGAGGAGATTACGGCACACAAGACGACATGGTCGTCGGCTGATGATGATGGCTGACCAGTGCTTCGATGGGTTGGAAAAGAAGAAGGTCAGGTGGTCACTTTAAGCTGCAAATTGGTCGGAAAACTAGCATGGCAGTGTCACCGGCAATGGAAGACATAAGGGTGGGGGAGTGACGGCTAACTGTAGAAGGTGGATAGTGTTTGTGGTGGTTGCTGATCCTCTTAGGGTTAGGGTTACACAAAGCATATATACCCGACTCATATAAAAATTTGCCATAATGTCAAGAATAGTCCCTCCACCTTAATTTTCTTTCAAATGCAATCCAAAAGTTACCATTTAAGTCTCTGCCCATAAAACTCTTTACAAGTTAAATCCAAAATTTACCAACAACCCCCTTATTCCATAAAATCTCTTCAAATAAAGCCCCAAAAATTATCATTTAGCCCCTGCCTTCATAAATATTTACAAAACTAATCTGGGACTTACACTTTTAACCCCCAACTTCTAAAATTCTTCACAAATTAGTCCGGGACTTATTATTATTAATTTATTTAAATAACTGAGGCATTACACATCGTCTTCATCCGTCTTCATAACCACTCCACAACCAAGCCACTGGGGAATTGTTCACACATGACTTGGTTGTCCACCTTAGTTTTAACGCGTCTTTTTGGCACCCATTCTGGATAGATTTGATGCTTAGTGCTTAGGACACAACATTCACGACCTATAACTTAGAGCTTAAGGCTTATGACTTATGGATTGGGGTTTTAGTTTACATTTTTCAAAACCCTACCATACAGTAGACTAAAACAACATAAGTAAACAAGTAAGAATTTTGATAGTTTTTCTCTACATTGGAGTTCAAACAAACCATAGGAAAATCATATATATTTTGTCTATTTTATATAATCAATATTAATTAATTTATTTTTTAAATTCTATTATTAATCTAACTTTTTTTAAGTATATATTTCGTTGATACAAATTTTCACCAAAAAATTAAAATTCGCACACTTATTTTTCATTTCCCTCTTCTTTATCAAACATTGCACTCTCCTTATCCTAATTGTGTTACCTCACCAGTGACAAACTCCCCTAATCTTCATTGGCGAATGACGTCTACCCCCACGAAACCCCTTACGTTAACATCCCTCGTGGGTTGTCGCCACACTATCGACCTACACTGTCGCACATCTCAAACATCGTCGTCCTCGATACCAATTGAGAGTCCGTCTCCAAGCAATCGTTTCCACTTGCTCTAATCCCAAAGACGCAAAACGATCTCACGACTCTCGTTGTCCTTTTGATTTCCTTCTCTATTGTTTCCACTTGCTAATTGAGTCTGAGAGTCTAAGACGTAGAACATGTCCGAAAGTATGAAGCCCTTCGACTACACCTCGTCGCCTCTGCCTGAAGCACCTCTGCTTCCAGGTCCTCTAGGCGCTTGCTCATCTCGTTGCTCCCTCTCTGAAGGTATGTTCAGAGCTTAGTTATGCAGATCCAATGGTATATTACCATTGTTTAGTTGTGTAAGTTCACAATTTCACATATTTACAGCTTCACAAATTCATGGTTTCACAATTTTAATGAAATTCGTTTTCATTGATTGATAGTTCTGATCAAATTCGTTTTTATTGATTGAAAATTTTAAATGGTTAACATCAAAGATTCAAAGAAATTATTGTTCACACGGTATTGGACTTGGCTCATCTGTTTCCCCTCATCCCGATGACCCCTCAGCTGTCATAAATTCTGCTTAATATTGTTAAAATTTTTGGCTAATATTGTTAAAAAAAAAAAAAAAAAAACTGCAATATTAAAGCTATTAGACAATGAAGACTTTATAAAATCGATAATGTTTGAAATTTGATTATTTATATGTTTGTTTGTGTGTTGACTAGTTGTTCCTTAAAGAGATAACTCGAGATATTCTAGTGCAGATGGTGAGTGGAGAATAATTCTGCTGAGATACTTCAATCATATTGGAGCTCACGAAAGTGGGAAAGTTGGTGAAGATCCCATTGGGATCCCAAATAATCTTATGCCTTACACACCAAAACTAAGTAGTTGTTAGAAGATTACAAGAGTTGAATGTTGATGGTCATGATTACCCTACAAAATATGGCAGTGCTGTATGTATCTATCTATTCTTGTTATAGCAACATACTACTTCCATTCAATTGATTTTTCTTATAATTTTTTATTTATCTTTGCAGATCAGGGATTACATCCATGTGATGGATTTGGCTGATGGTCATGTTGCAACACTTAAAAATCTAGAGGACTTGTGTTATATATTTTATGGTGGTGGTTTGTAGGGCAAAATATGCGGTAAAATGATTATTTTCGTACTAAATGTCATGGTATTCTTATACGTACGCTATGTGTTTCTTAATGTCATGAATTACATTTGTAGCGATCATATTTTTCCTTCTTTTAACATATAATGATCTTTATTTTTGTTTGTAGAAGGGAAAGGCCAAACCTTGATCCTAGCGTTATGTGGAGAATAAGAAAATGAAAAAAAATGACGATGTACTTTCCTTAATATCTTTTTACCATATTATACCATCAAAATTTTCTGGTGTAATATTGTTATAACACAAAGTTCATTTTTTCAGTTTTTTACTATAATGGTGGATGACATGTTATAACATAAACTGCATATTATAGCAATGTACTTTCGTTATGCAATGTTAGACAAAGTTGTATTTTTTTCATTTATTTATCATACTTTTCTGTTAAAGAAAGTTGTTTTCTTTTCATTTTTTAATGTTGTATGATCTAGTGCAATTAAAAGAATAGATGAAAAAAAGGCAATTTGGTCCTTTCTTATGTTGTTATTTGTTTTTGTTTTTATTTTATTTTTTTGGTTTTTTTAGAAATTGTTTCTAACTTTACAAAACTACCATTTAATTTTTTTCATTAATTTATACAACCTTTTAATTGCACAAAAAAGCAATGTACTTTTGTAAAATGCTATGATTGAACTTTTTGTTCATTGTTTATTCTACCAAATGATATCAAAGATAAATATGGTCAAATTTAAGAGTCTTCCAAATACAATAGTACAACCAGAATGAACATTAGATAATTATAGTAACATATTCAATGAACGACCCCTAATTATACTGATAAGATATTATTGTTTTTTTATAACTATATTTACATATAGACACATATAATAGATGTAATCGTAACTAAATGCCACCTACACACACTATTTGCTTCTTTTTAAAGCCAATTCATAATATTTTGACTCACATAATAAATGGTACATGACCAAAGTAACATATTCAATGAACGACCCCTAATTATACCGATAAGATATTATTGTTCTTTTATAACTATATTTACATATAGACACATATAATATCTATAATCGTAACTAAATGCTACCTATACACACAATATTTGTTTATTCTTAAAGCCAATTCGTAATATTTTGACACACATAATAAAAGGTACATGACCATAAGTAACCAATAGTAACTTGTTTTATTTTCTTGCTTTAACTAAGTACAACTAGTACAGAACCACGCTATGGACACACAAATATTTAGTGTGACCATATGTATCACCTTTTAGCTACTTTTTCTGTCATGTGGCTAAAAAGGCACCAGGTTATAGAGACAAAGAACTAACTCATATGACGATACTTTTATCTACTCTCTCTCATAAAAAAAGTATGACAATCTTAATTGATTCCTGTGGCTGATTGTGACCTATGGCCTCAGTGTTCGAGTATGACTAATATTTGTCACATTTGGTATAATTAAGTGTGGTTAAAGTTTTGATTATCGATATAATGACCACACAAACTAATTTAAATGTATCCAAAAACAGTCTGTAAATTTTTTAGTGACCTTTGGCCACACTTTTAATAAAAAGTTTCACAGGCCGTTTTTTAGAAAGTTTGACCGTAGTTCATTTTTGTACTATTGTCTTGACATTTTGAGCATTTTTCGGTCTCAAATTTGTTAGTTCTTACTCCTTGGGGAAGAGTTTGTATCTTAGTGATGGATTTAAGAAAAGTTTGTGGTGAGACTTACGTTTTGTGAAATACTGCAGTGTATGCAACACTCACCTTTCCTGGGACCTATAGCTGTTGGGACTTTTTTCTTTTTTCCATAATGATTTCTTCGTCTAAGTCAAATCCTAAGCCAGGATATATCGATCCAATAACTGTAATGGATTGCATATTTTCAGAGAGTCGTGAGGATTCTACGACAATTTCATCAACAACACAGTTGTTTAGAACACAAAGTTTTCCAAAATGACATTGAATGTCTTCGGGATAGGTTTTGTCATTGATTGTGAAGTGAAAGTTCCTGTTAGGTGGGACATAATGATGTTCGACATCAAACCGAGGTGGAGACTTCTCTCCAGTTTTGTAACCATTTGACCATCCCCAATTGTAAGTGTTGTCTATGGATCCATTATTGACTAAATTTTCAATTGCTTCAATATCATTAAATATTTTTTTATTAATTTTTTAAGCTTATAATTTCATTTTAGGCTAGATCTTGTTGATTAAAAGCAACATCTAATTGCGTTTCACTAAGTAACCTATTATCCTTTTCTAGTTTCAGATCGGCTTGTAACATGATGACCTTAAATTTTTTATCTTCTATTCTTCCTCTCAAGTGGTATAACTCTTGGTCACTATGTTCTTTTCATCTAAGGCCTTGTTGTAGTCTGAAAGGGCGTCAACACATGTTTGAGTAATTTGTACAAGATAGCATTCATATTCATGCATGTTATAATTATTTGACTAAATCATAAGTTTCACATGTTCAATGATGTCGATGTTTCCTTCCTTTGCCATGAAGGAGTAGTTTTTATTCATCTGTCTAGTGTTCTCCATTGCAAATAGAAATAGTGTGACAACCTGAAACTTCTTCCGTTACCTTTAACCGACTCCCGTTAATAAATTTGAAATTTTATTGGATTTCCGTTAAATTCGTTGGTTTGGAAAATTATTGTGATTTGTATAATTAAAATTTTATATACATTATAAGAGTTGGAACCGAAAATCGCGTGAAAAACCCACATTTTTCTTGAAAAACAGCAGGTGTGCGGCCAGGACGAGTTTTCGGCCGTAAACCCGTGTACGACCGCAAACCCATTTGCGATCGGTGCCAAGTGGACCCCACCACCGACCACGCCCCTAGTCTATAAATACAAGACCCCAACCTTCATTAGAACCTTCTTGACCAAAAACTCTCTCACTGTCTCTCTAGAACCTCTAGCCGTAAACACCTTAAAACACCTCTTTTCTTCCAGAAAAACATCAAAAATCGTCATTTGGGCTCGATTGGGAGCACCTGGAACACGTTTTCATCAAAATCAAACACCCTTATTCTTGAGTTTACGACCGTACACCCTTCAAATCTTCAAAGTCCGTAAGCCCTTCGAAAGACAAGTCACGACCATAAACCTTATTCACGGTCGTAAACCTAGTTCACGACCGTAAACCCCCATACACGGTCGTACACGCCTCTTTTGCGGTGAAAAACTCGTTTCCTCGATTCAACCAAATTTCGGTAACATTCCTTAACCAAAAGCAAGTGTTCTTCAAACACTTTATCTAAGGAAATCGGTAATTTAGATACATATATGTATTTAATTGATATTAGAATTCCATTAAGTGCCACGTACAACAACCTGAGGATCTTCGTTTCCAATCGATGTTTCCACACAACAAACAGTGAGTTCATACCCCTATGCTTTTATAGTTTTTAAACGTTTTCAGGGGAGAATACAATCCAAACACAAAAGGTTTTTGTACTAAACAAAGAGGTTCACAACGAATTAAAACTTATGCAATTGATACAAACCAATGTTTTTCATAAAGCATACATATATTTTATCCCTTTTGTAATATGCGGAGCATAAGGGACGTCTTTCTAAAAATAATTGCAAAGTTTTCAAAACAATTTACAAAATAAGTACAAAAAATTTCAAGCAAACTATAATGGTTATAGTTTAGGGATTTCAATATATAGCTTTTACCGATTCGGACTTCACACATGAGTAAACATATAAACTATGACAAATTCAGTTTATGATATACATTACTACAACGATACAATAGTTAATAATTATTTAAGTATAATTATTTTTACCCTACAAGTCATACATCGAATTCAAGTACAAAAGAACGTTACGTTTCACATATTATTACTTGTAAATCCGTTAATCTAGTTGGAAGACATGTCCTTGGGCGCTTACAAACATAACTAAGTGGAGGACTATCCTTATGAACCAGAGTCTCTTGGAGGGAGAATGTGATTTTGTGTATAGGTCTATACGGGATTAACTACCCTGCACCTTGCTGCTAGCTACAGTAGTACCGTCATAACTAAGGATCTCATACAACAGTTTTCATACAGATCAAACAAGAACAGACATTGCATATTAGCGGTAGCCAGGGTTTTCAAACAAGGCATACGATAACTACATATACGAGTAAACATATTAGAAAATATTGTATTTTCTTGGAAAAACATACATACATTTTACAGATTTGTTCACAAGTTTTCATTACAAAAACATGCTTATGAACTCACCAACTTTATGCTTATACTCTTTCAAAACCGCTTGTATTCTCAGGACGACAGTAGACAGGTACTCTTGTCGGCTTTTGAGAAGACGGAGCATTCGAAGTCTCGTCTTTATACATTTGCTACTTTTGATGTATATAAACAATGAAACAAACAAATGTAAATATTCGTATTATATTGTAATGGTTGTGTTTGCTTTGATTACTATGATACAATTGTGATGGTACGACATATGATGTCCTCCACCCCTGAACGTTTCCGCTGTTTGTTTTACGGTTTAGGGTGTGACAGATTGGTATCAGGGCTACTGTTTATAGTGGAAACTATGGTTAAACCTGGGCAGTTATGTAATCAGGTCTAGGATCAATATAGCCTTATCAACTATATTTATTCGAGACATGACCAACATGTGTCTGGGAGTGACTGTGGCGTTGGAACAGGCCTAAAACTTACCAAGCCATATACAATAAGATATCAATAGAAACAAAAAATATAACATAAAATACTAGAGGAGTATTTCTGCTAGACCCGAATACAGTGTAGAGATTCATTTCAAGTGTTGCTACTCATTCTTTCTTAGGGATAGTTTAGTTGCATTAGTAACTCTTCCTTTCTTATCGCTTAGTAGAACACTTTATCTATCAAGCTTAGATATATCTTGTTTCATATCTCTTTATTCAAAATCCAGGGGACTTACCATCCTCTTCTTCCTGATTATTTTTAGAACAAGAAGCCTCCGAAGAAAACACCCAACAGAAAGAACAAAAATCCCCCAACAGATCCAGCACCACCACCTCCTCGGTTCGATACTGCTATGTTCCAGGAAGCAATCATGGTCGTTTTGGTTTCTGCAATGTAACTTATAAATTATGGCGGCTCTAGTAGGTCGGGAAGTGGTGCCCAACCCCTTAATTTGGATGGAAGTCAGGGATACCAGAAGGAGTGCTCCTACAAGGACTTCATGAACGCAAAGCCTAAATCCTTCAGCGACAATGAAGGTGTCATTACCCTAACTCGATGAATTGAGAAGATCAAATCGGTCTTTGAGATCTGTGTGTGTTCCGAAGCAAACAAAGTGATGTTCTCTGCTTGCACGTCACTGATCGAGCATTGACCTAGTGGAATGGTCAAGTCAAATCCCTAACCCTACCAGTGAGGAATGCCATGGGCTGGGAAAGTTTGAAGGAGCTCATGCTCGTCGAATACCACCCAAGGGGCGAGATGTAGAAACTGGAGCACGAGCTTTGGAACCTAAAGATGAAAGGTTCCGACATTGCCTCCTATACAGCTAGATTTTCTGATCTGGCTCTCCTCTATCTGGAAATGGTCACCCTGGAAAGTAAGAAAATAGAGACATACATATGGGGATTGATGCCCCCAACCCAAGGAATCGTCTTCGCTGCTAGGCCTACCACTTTTGACAACACCAAGTTCCTGATGCAAACCTTGATAGATCATGGGG